CGCACCTGCAAGAATGACCCAGAAGCGGACGCGAGCCATGGGGCACAGCACCGGCGGGTCGAAGGACTCGCCGGTGAAGTTGCTGATCAACTGTCCGGTTTAGGGTTTAGGGTTCAGGGTTTAGAGTTGAGGGTTTAGGGTTTAGGGGGCAGTTCCGTGAATTATCAAAGGACAATCTTCAATAATGTCGGCAAAACCCTTATTATTCCTTTGCAAAGCCTAAACCCGCTCCAGCCACTTGCATGGCTTTTCATCGGACGCTGTATCCGACTGTACAGGTGGAACTCATTCGGGACACGAATCGGACAGAGATCCCCTGAAATACGGCTGTTTACTAGTCTTTACGTCGTGGATCTAGAAGAAAACTATGGCTTTGACCAGGCCTCCGTCCAAAACGTTCAGAAGAAAGCATGGAAGGTTATCAAGTAGACTAGGGATCCTCAAAAGAGTTCTAAAGATTCTAGAATTCTACAAGGTAGTGCAGGTTCCGTTAAACTGTTTTTATCAGGAATTATCGGGCTCCGTTATGGAGAGTTCTATAAGGGATTCATGGCATGCTATACGGGCTCTGTAGGAACATAACAAGGTTAACAGTCCGAGAGGCGCCCTGGGTGTACAATAGCGACTTACTATGGTTTTTCGGGAGTCATGAAAGAATACTGTGACTGTTTGCTCCGAACCCTATCATGGATGTGAGTAGACAGGGTTTATGGTTTAGGGCTTAGGAACAAAAGCAATGACATTTGCTTGCTATATAGGCTTCGATTAGTCTCGATTTGGCAGTAGTTGCGGTTGCCTTCACAGTTGCCATCGGGAAGGAAGGAACACTGAATACACCCTAAACGCTGAACCCTAAACCGAGTTTACATTGATAGGTGATCGTGTTATGCCCGACCACGGGTCTCTGAAAAAGGTGTGAAAGCCCTGGTCCCTACAAATTTGCAGGCTGCACGTCACAGCCGCCCTACCCTGACATCAGGCTGACATGAAGAACCTCTTGAACCTCAAAGCCCCCAACAACCTATTTGGGTTTAGGGTCTAGGGAGTTTACTCAGGGTTTAGGGTTAACCCTAACCCCTCAACCCCACAACCCCAAACCGAACCCGTTTAAACATAGGGAACTCAAGCGGTTAGGTTACGCAGGGTCTTGTGCTTTAACTTGTTCCAAGAGCCTCCGTGATACTTTGAGCGTGACAGCACGCTTACTGGATGTATGTGTATACAGATACGTAAAGAATATATGTATGTGTATGTATGGGTATGTTTATATATATATATGTGCTTATAAATGTAATATACATGCATACACACACAGCTACATACATGCATATATAGATGACATATGTGCGTGTGTATATATATATATAATATGTCTATGTGTCTCGCACGTGCTAAGCTAGCTCGGTAAACATGAATATCGACACCTCCACCATTCCGCCGGGATCCGCCATGGTGCGAACAAACTGCTTACAAAACCCTCACTGTTGGCCATGCAGCCAACTTACTTAGTCATCTTCATAAACATGCTGCGACTGATATTGCAAAGCTATTGCAAATGCAAGACCAGCTATTGATACTCGTCGTGGCACTGCTACTACTGCTACTGCTGCTGCATCGGCTTCCGCTACAGGTACTGCTACTGCTACTGCTGCTGCTGATGCTGCTACTACTGTTACTACTACCACCACCACCACCACCACCACCACGACTACTACTACTACTACTACTACTACTCCTACTCCTACTAATACAAATACAAATACCAATACTAATACTAATACTACAATCACTACGCAGATCCGCGTATTCTCATCATGACTCAACTGTTCGTTGCAACTCGTGCTTCTCCCCTAGACTGAGGCTTAAACCTACTTCTCTACGAAACCCTAAACCCTAAACCCTTACTAATGACAATGACTGCAGCGGCCGCTTTGGGGGGGCAGAGGTCCCCCCCTTAGCTGCGCTGCTTGGCCCGTAATGGCTATGCGTCTTTCGAGACTCGGTCTGGGTGCACTTACCCAAAGGGTCCAAGTATTATTATAGTAGCCTCTTAGTAAATTTTTGTGCCCCAAAAGTATATACTCCATACTATACTCTTACTTGGGCCCTTTGAATTAGGGCTCTGGCTTAGATCTTTTTTGGGGTTTAGGGTTTGAGGGTTTAGGGTTTAGGGGGCTTTACCCTACGACTCCAAGTATGCAAATAGTAGCTCGTTCTTTCTTAGGGTCTAGGGCCTAGGGTTTGAGGGTTTAGGAGCTGTTCGGAGGGCTCAAGGGTGAAGGTTTCAGGGTTGCGGCAAGGCCAGGAGCAGTGGGCCATAGACAAGCGAGTTTGGAGTTTGGGGTTTAGGGTTTGGGATTTTTCCACGATGAGCTTTGCTAATATAGGGTCCCAAAACTGGACTAGAAACACACCCGGTATAGTCCCTTTATGATAAAAAAAGTGCTCCGAAGCCCTCCTCTCGGAACAAAAGCTCATTGTAATTCAGGTTGTGGATTGCTGTCAGTCGACCTTCTGCTCTGGGTTCCGGACGGGGGTCCCCGTGTGCGAGGAGGGTTCAAGTGAACAGATTTTTGGGGCTTTGAAGTAACCCAGGAGAACAAAGCATTAACTTGTATTTCATAATGGTCCTTTACCCATAAGCCCCTAAGTAGTTCCTTTTTGTGGTTTATATTTGGAATCCTATAAGGTAATCTCAAAAAGGAACTACTTAGGGGCCTATGGGTAGGGTCTTAATGAATCTTTAACAAGTGTTAGTACGCGAAGATTAACGACGCCATGCAGAGACCGCAAGCGTGTGGGCTGCCACCAGGAAGCAGTTGTTTGGTCCGATACAGTCATCCACCACCTCATTGCTTTATGGGTTTAGGATCTTTAGGCTTTTGCTTGAGGGTTTGGGGTCGGCGAAAAGGGTGGTCTGTAGGATCTGAAAAAAAAAGCTGTGCAAGAGAATCAGATGCCCTGAAGGCTCGCATGGGCCTTGAGGGTTTAGTAAATTTAGGGTTTAGGGTTTCTCAATTTGACACTACCTTTGCGAAGTCTCGCAAGGCTTCGGAGAAAGAATCCTTCTGCTCCACCAGCAAAACCCTATTCCTCAACCTCTGGCACCACTGAAACCCATCGTGAAATCTGCTGCCCCCTACTCACACCAGCCAAGCGCCCAACGAACCAAGGGACATCCCCACCTTCAATCCTACAGCCGAGCAGTTGCTTCAACAGCAGTCTGCTTGTGAACCACAAGGGCTCTTAGCAAAGCCAATATATGTTTCGGTGGCATATTATCGCCTACAACAAGAGTACTCTCATTGTTAAGGTCCCCGCATTGCACAGGATTCCGATTCGGGATCCTTGTTATCGCGTGCCAAACCCCAAAGTGCTGAACTCGAAGCTCGTAGCCAAAGCCGTGGAAGTCTTCTAACACCGCAGCCCTGAACCACAACCACATGAAACTTGATGGGGGTACGACGTTCAAGACCCCTCGTTGTAATATAGGCGTATTGAAGGGTGCTGGGGCAACTTAGAGTATGGTTGGACTAAGGCGATTAAGGACTAGTATTGGCCCTTGCAGTACTAATGCAGATCCGTGACTAGCTCAGAAGTCGTTTCAGTACTGGGCGGGTGCACAGTGTTGCATCCGGGCCGTGATGGTTAGACTTCGCTGCTGGCGGGTTTCTCTGTGAACTATCTTAAAGCATCCTGAAGAAAGACCATTACGAACCCTAAACCCTAAACTCCCCAAACCAGTCAAGCGTATATACCTACACGAGGGACTCAACATTGCAAGCTCTAATCTCGATTCCGCCAACTCTAAACAAGGAGACCCGAAGCCCTAACCGAAATCCTTACCCTCAAAGGACTCATATTTTAAGGCTTTTGGGCCTAAAGACCCCTATTATATAAGGTTTGGGCTATTTTGAGGTTAAGGGAATTAAACCCCAAATCCTCAAAAATATAAATATCCCAAAACCCTAGTCCTAGTCCAAACATACCGGTTTTTACCCCAATCCATGTAACCAATATAGTATTTTCTTATGGCTTGAAAAGTAGTCCCTGTTTGCGTACTTCTGATTCTGGGCGAAAGTATATACTATATGAGTACATCGACCCCCAGGGAGTGCAAGCAACGGTTGATGACATAAATCTTGCACTACCCACAATAAGGAATTTACCATAATTCCCATAGTTTAGGGTCCTTAAGGTAGTGCAGGATTTATATCATAAGCCCTAAACCCTAAACCCCTAAACCCTGACCCCTAAACCCTCAACCCTAAACTCCGAAGGACAGCGTCGTGCGGCCTTAAAGCCCAGGCCAGTGCTAATGGCCTGGCCCCAGGGGCGGAAACGGCACCAGGATTTGGAAGGGTTTAGGGTTTAGGGTATTTCAGGTGCAGGGTTTGGGAAGATTTGCGATATCTGGGGCTGAAGGGTTGAGGAGCACTTTCTCGGGTTTCTTGTGCAGCGAGGCTTACGGATGGAGGATGGCTGTGTAAACCCTAAACCCTAATGATCTGAGGGGGCCAGGTCCTCTGAAGAGGGCTATCCTTCAGGGCGGAATCACCGAAACAAAATAGGGCTCACATACCTTCATACTATGGTTCCTACCCTAAACCCTGAACCCTAAACCCTGATCTTCGCTATATGAGGTAACCGAATCTTGAACCCCGAAAAACTAAGTATTCAGATGTAGGGGGCCCGTTACATGCAGTCTGGCGTTAGTCTGCATCTTTGGCATGGGATGTGAAAGGGGATTGCAGTTTGGGGCCTAGGACGAAAGTGGTGGGGGGCGGGGTTTGCAGCCAACCCTGAACCCTTAACCGTCTGCGGCTGCCAGTCCTGATGTGTGAGACTGGGGCCACTCTTGCATCTTTTCGACGATGGCGAAGGCGGGGCCACAGCTAAGAGTCAACTATGGTGTACGAGAATACAAAATATGATATGATATTGTACTGTATAATGTGATATCGTATAGTGTGTCGCAATATACTATGATCTAAATATTATTAATCAGCTGAAGTGCATGGAAGTCGCACACCCCACTTGCACTTTGCTTCCTCCATGGACACAGGGAACAGGTCCTTGTTGTGTCTGTTCACCCACCACAGTGCAGTGCCACATGGCTTCTCTCCCATGTACCTGGGATCTACGCCGTCGGTATCATCTGCTGCATACCAGCGTGTGTCACACGACAGGCGCACTTTGGGTGGATCGCTGTGATTTGACAGCGAACCGTGCATTGTGTCTAAACGGAAGATGACGACGTCGGACAGTTGGAATGCAGAGGTCAGAAGGGGACATCGGTATGCCAGAATTTCTCGAACATCTTCGGTAAACCACCCAGTTCCATGGATCCCTGCCGTGTCCACATCGATCTGAGAGTAGGTCTCTCGAACCTTCTTATAGGACTGTGCTGAATGTGAGCCACCTACAACACAAAGTCCGCCCATCTGAAAGTCGACATCTCCCAGTGGAATCCAGCAAGTCAATCCTTGGCGGCTTCCTTTGTTGAGGTACACCGAGTCCGTGTGGAAGCCACTGTTCTCCCCCAAGCCCACCGCCCGAAGCCACTTGTAATCCAAAGTTCTCACTCCTTTGCCATCGAACTCATCGCAACCCAGTGCTTCAGCCATCAGTCCTTTCAGAGACTCGCTCTCAACCAGGGAGAGCATCTCAGGACAGCGTGCCAACTCCGCAGGCACTGCGCCTTGGTCCTGGGATGGCACATTTTCGTGTTCTTAGCATATACTGGTATAACCTAGTATATTATAGTATGCTATAGCGTACAATAACTCATGGTTGTCCTCCTTGTCGCGCCTAAGAGGACACATGATGCACCGAACAGGAGCCATAAATACTAAGATAAGCTCCAAGGTCTGTGCCTTCCTGTGTTTCTGGGTTCAGACAACCATCCGTGCCCTCCAAGATCATGCCAGAATCCTCCAGGCTGGCCAAAACCGCCTTCCGGGCAGCTGACACCAAGTCCAAGGGCAGAACCTCCTGAGGGGATCATGTCAACAGGGGGATGCTATACCGGGTAGCTAAACAAGATGCCATGAGAAAGAGATTGTGCACAATCGTGTAGAACCCATCATTTGTTCATGCAAGTTCTTTGCGCCCGAGTCCTGTAAGTACAGATATCCCTCTTCCTTCAGCCTTTGCTTCAGCCTGCCAGTGCCCAGAAGGTCGTTAGCGGGCTCCATGAGCTTGACATCCTCACTCGGCCCGACTTGCAGCACGTGGGGGCCGATCCGACATGCCATGGACACGAGCCGAACGTGTGGGGATATGCCACTGCGCTATCAGGCTAATGTGCGACTGGCATAGGTATGCACAGACATGCTCTCTAGACGGCGATCCTCCTAAACCCTATAAACCCTAAACCCCAAACCCTAAACCCTAAACCCTGAACCCTAAACCCTAAACACTAAGTTGATGCCCATCGGTCCAGCCACCTGCTTGGCCATCTATCTCGGAGCACTGGAATGTCTTGAGCCGGATAGATCCACTTACCAAAACACCCCTGAAACCTACGGTTGATGATATAAATCCTGCATGACTCATAATAAGGAATATACCATAATTCCCATAGTCTAGGGTCCTTAAGGTAGGGCAGGATTTATATCATCAACAGTAGCCGGTTTCCTAGTAGGAACTACATGTCAGGCTTTCAGGCAGTGTGGGGATTTTATTTGGTGGGTTTAGGGCTTTGACATGAGTTCCAGGGTTTACCTTAACCCACCAAAACCCACTTTGGTAGGTTCTTATAAAGCCCTAATATGGGATTTATAGGGGACCCCAAAAAAAGTAGGTTCTGGTGGGTTAAGGTAGGGCATACGTACATGTACTGCAACTGCAAGACCGTCCAGTCGCGTCTTTTTGCGAAATCTCTCGAAGCCTGACCCTAAGGGTCCAAGTACTCATTATTTAAGGACTTTGGGGCCTGTATGGGTGCCCAAAACCATAAATAAGGACTATTCGGACCCTTAGGGTAACCGACTGAGCAGCGGGACTTGAAGCCTCGAACATTGTGAAACCCTCAGACTGATCTCACTGACTTATAAGGCCTCTCTCTTCTACGGCCCTATTTGATCCTTAAACCCTAAACCCCTCAACCCTAAACCCTAAACTCTGAGATACGGATGCCTGTTATCATCTTTATCTAGGGAAGTGCATTCATCAGTCTGGGGTCTCCCAGCGAGCTGCTATACACCTTAATTGATGCTCGAGTTTCGGGTTTAGGGTTTAGGGTTTGGGGTATTTGATCCCTTACTAAACCCTAAACCCCTAAAGCCCTCAACCTAAACCCGATAAACCCCTAGTGCAGTGCCTTGGACTCCAGGGGCATCTTCAAGAGAGTGCCCTCTGGAGGAAGGCAGTCCTGGCACCGGACATATGGCGACGATGACGATGACTTGGGTGTCGGGGACCTGTTAGAGTATGATACAGCATGGTCATGTAGGAACTAAACAGAGGAGCTCATCTGAACATGAGCCTGGCAAGAACTAGGAGATGTTCAAAAGCAGATGCTATCATCAACAGCGAAACAAGCTTCAAACTACATGAGGGCAAGATATCGCAAGTATGCCAGCAGCAACGGCCGAAACCATAGCGGGAAAGCTCAAAAGCCCTAAACCGTGGCTACCCATAGGCTCCTAAGTAGTTCCTTTTTATGGTTCATGTTTAGAATCCTATATAAGGTAATCCCAAAAAGGAACTACTAAGGAGCCTATGCGTAAACCCCAGATTCCCGAAAAATCCGATTCACCTCATTCCGCAGTCTGCCTTGTCTTTCTCTGGGAGCCAGTGTGGATGCTTGGGATCTGCCGGGACGTAGTCGGGCAGCGCATCAGTGATCTGAGCAGCGCTGCAAACGCTGGACCAGACCCTAAACCCTAAACGCTAAAAAAAAGCCTAAAGTCTAAACCCTAAACCCTAAAGAGGCTCAGGCCTTGTATGATCAGAACGAATCACGTTTGGATCCCTAATATGATGTCAAGAATATTCCTGACTTAAGGGATATTGGAAGGCCTGTGGAATTTACCGGAAGGAGGTCCGAAGCTCCAGAATCGCCTGAGCCCTGCCAGGAGGCCCTTAACGTCAAACTCGCTCCCCGAAATCCGTACCCCTACTATAGGGGCCTTAATAATTACCTATACTATTTTGGGGTTTCCCTATTATAATTATAGTATAATGTACCCCAAAACCCTATTCAAATTCTCAAGGCCCCTACATTAAACCTCTGAAATCCGCGTTCTGTGCCAAGCTGCATTCTGCCAGTACTTTAGCTGCGGCCCAAGGAAGCAACCGCCAGTGCCCCCAACTGACACTTGGCTGAGGACCTCAGTGGAAGTTTCGGATTAGGGTTTGGGGTTTAGGGTTTAGGGTTTAGGGTTGAGGGTTGGGGGTTTAGGGTTTAAGGTTAGGGTTACTTTCGGGTTACTATAGAGCCCCATTCAGAGTTACTTTCGGATAACTAAAGAGCTCCATTAAGAGTTGTTCACTAAGGGTTACTCTCGGTTTCCAAAATAGCTCCATGAAGGGTTACTTTTTGAATGCTATAGATATCCATTAAGGATTGCTTTCGGATTACTATATAGAGCTCCATGAACGGTTGATTCGGATTAGTATAGAGTTCCATTAAGGGTTACTTTCGGACTACTCTAGGGCTAGAATTCCATTAAGGGTTGCTTGCGGGTGACTATGGAGTAAAAAAACTAAAGCTTACTTAGCAGCTTACTTTCGGATTGCTATAGAGGTTATCGTAAGGATACTTTTGAAACACTATATATATATATACGGCGTGTCATTAGTTGGCCTCCTGGATTTCAGGCGTCAGGATGCGCAGTCCAAGAAGCCCAGGTATCTATGTATACCATATTGGCAGTAGCCCGCTGTTACACTGTACAGAGAGCTCGGCATTTGTGACAAGTGCATGTATGTATGTATGTATGTATGTATGTATGTACCTATGTAGGTATGTGTATGTAGATGCTCATGTATATGTATATGTATACGCATATGTAGATGCTTTACATGCGTACCCACATACCTACAGACCAACATACACACACACATACATACACACATACACACATACATACATGCATACATACATACATACATACATACATACATACATACATACATACACACAGACAGACATACATACATACATACTTTCTTACATACATACATACAAACATACACACCTACCTACCTACCTGCCGGCACTTCGGAGAGGCTCCTAAATTTCAATTTGCAGGCCACGGTACAAACCATATGGGCGCATGCAACCTTAAAGAACAAAACCTCAAATCCTAAACCCTTGTGGAACCCTGTTTGAACCCTCAGACTACTCTTACTTGTTGATTGTATTCCGAAGCTAGTGTCCTTCCTTGGCTATTGGTTGGTGGGAAGCTTGCAGCTTGAAGTTCTATTGCGGAGGGAGCGCAAACGTGCCCCAACGGCTTAGGGCTTATTGGGTTTAGGAGTTTAGGGTTTATTGGGTTTAGGGGTTTAGGGTATAAGGGTAATCCCAACAACCCTTGTGTTCCCAGAGCCCGAAGAGAAGAAGCCAACTCTTGGGGGGCCAAGGAGAACCCGATGCTCTGACTTTAGGAATTCCGGGGTCGTATGGTTTGGGTTTAGGGTTTAGAGTTTAGGGTTTAGGGTTTCGTATGGTTTCGGATGCCTTAGGGTTTTTCATTACGAATCGAGCTGCAGGGCTGGAGTCATCAGGATTCACAGGGTTTTCGGGCTTAGGAGTCCTAATATCAGGGTCTTGGGTGTAGGGTTTAGGGTTTGGGGTTTAGGGTTTTGGGTTCTTTTCTATGATTCTGAGAGAGTGCCACAACATTGGGCGCTTCTGGCCCAAACTTGGCGAGACACCTGCCTTCGGCATGGTGCTCAAGCCGGAAACTACTCGTTCGTAATGGCCCCTGATTAACCCTAAGGCTCTAAGGACTCATATTTTAAGGCTTTTGGGCTCCAATACCATACTACATTACATAAGGCTTTTGGGCTATTTTGAGCCTTCGGGTACTTAACACGACAATACCGGGTATCACGATTCCGTATGTTCGGTGTGCATCTAGGCCTCTGCAACTCTATCCAAACCTTCCAAAATCCCTCACTTAAGGAATGTACCAGTTAAGGAATATACACCTTAAATCATAACAGGGATACGATGATGATTTAAGGCATGTTCCTGAATTAATGGTTATAGGAATGTCTGGGTACTTCTGGCCCCAAAACGCAACCAAAGAAGTAGATCATGTAGGGCTGCAACGCTGAAAGTGGAGGCAGTGTCCTCAGTTGCTTCCGAGTATAGGGGCCAGAATTAATGGAGCAGGGTTTTGGGGTGTATACCAACCATCTCATAAGTATAGTGTGCCTGAAATCATCATAGTAGGGTTTCGGGGCATGCTATAGTTTACAGATACATATCACTACAACTATTTTAAATACAAAGAACTGCAAGGAATATAGCTTTCTGTGATGATCCCGGCCCCCCGGTCTTAGCTTTTCGATGCCTTGGGGGCAGAAATGGCTCCGAACCAACTGAGCAAAGCCCAGGTCTTCGACTCCAACTGTGAGGAGGAAAGGTGGAAGTAGGCGCAACCTGGGATCGTTTTTTTGTTGTTTTTTGTTTTGTGTTTCTTCTTCTTTTGTTTTGCGACTTTCTGCATGATGATGACTAAGGCGTTCTTTTTTAAGTTCTATTGTATAGTTGCTGCTGTTTGCTAAAGTCTGCAGCTGTCACATGAGAGGCCTCGAACCCTAATCCTCAAACGCCACGCTGCTAACCAAGGACCCCTTTTGGGCCTCGGCGACTTCTAGACAAGGTTTGGGAGGCAGGGTTCAGGCTTGAGGGTTTAGGGTCCAGGGGTTAGGGTTTTAGGGTGCAGGGTTTAGGGTTCAGGGGTTAGGGTTTTAGGGTGTAGGGTTTAGGGTTTCGGCTTCAAGATTGGGGGTTTATAGAATTTTCCTGGACCCCGATGCCTCTTTAGAGGGTTCCTCATTATGATTTCTTTACATACGTCCTTAAAAGGGTAGGTTCTTCAGGGTCTAGGTCGACTCTATGCCAAGCTGTACATGATAAGGCCTATAGTCTCTAGCTGCTGCATAAGTCCCGAAACCTAGCCATTGAAACCTAACCCCTAAACCCCACCCTAACCTTCTCCCCCGCTCGCCATGCTCCCGGAAGTGAGTTCAAAGGGGCCTTTTTGGGAAGCCCTAAACCCTAAACCCCTAAACCACT